TTCCCTAAGCTACGGTTGATGATATAAACCCTGCATCACCCATAATAAGGAATGTATGGGAATTACGGTATATTCCTTATGATGGGTCATGCAGGATTTACATCACCAACCGTACCTCAGCAAATCCCTTCAGGTTTGTTCAAACCTTTAGTTAAGAACCCCCCCCCCACAAGCCTTGAGTTTAAGCCTCAGCCGTAAACCCTAACTAGGACCTAGAGTAGGCCCTTATTCCCATTGTTTAGGGTTCAGTTCCCTTAGAAGCCCCTTTAACCCAAAATAGGGGACCCTTTTTAGTGCCAGGTTGCTCTTGGGTCTAGCTAAACCAGAAAGACAACCCCTAAACCTGATGATTAGGAGTCGAGGCGGCTCCATCTTATCATAGGGACCCTTTGGGGGGTGGGGGGAGGGGGGGTACGGGGCCTTAATGCCCATAATAAGGACCTAACAACGCCGATGTAATGAATTACAGTCCCCTACCCGCTCTCCCCCCCTGGGTCGCTGTGAATCTGAGGCGAGCGTCCAGATGCCATTGCCGGGCAACCAGCTCTTTTGGCACAGTTTTTGGGGAGTTCTTAAACCGAAACTTCGGTTTGTGTCTTGAAACCCTAAGCCGGACCAAATCCGAGACCTAAAGCCCTAAACCCTGAACCCTAGACTCTAGACCCTACAATTTGCTTTCTTGGTGCGGGGATTTAGGGTCAAGGCTGTTGGGTTTAAGGTTTCCTCACGCTCGAGATACCGGAAACTCCCCGGCAGAGGATCGCTTCTGACCTTAATAGGGTCAAAAATGAGTTTGTTTGTGGGGTTCAGGGTTTAGGGTTGCTCCTGCATTGGGATAGTTGCTCTCTCCTTCTATTGGAGTCAGGAAATCCAGGGGTTTTGGAGGTGTGCTGGGGCCCCAAACACCACGACCCTGTCCGAAATGCCCTTCCCCTTTATCCCAAACCCGGAACTCCATCCCAAGATCTTAAATCCTAAACCCTTCACCCCTAAACACTAAACCCTAAACTCCATCCCTAAATCCTGGATCCTCAAAACTGCAAGTCCAAAATGTCAAGCCCAAAGCCGCATGGGTGGTTGTCAAAATGATGGTCCCTTTTTGGGTCCTTATGATAATACGGCACCTATTATTTAGGGTACCCAGAAAGGGACCATAATTTTGACAACTACCCACATGTCTCTAGCTTCAAGCTGGCGCCTCGACCCCTGCAAGCGCACATACCCTCAAACCAAAACTTAGGGGTAGGTAGGAATATAATTTATCTTTTGGTTATTATAATCCCGATGAAACAGCTAAAATCATAATTTTTGCTAGGGTTCCAAGTTCAGTACAGAAAAAACCCAAAGCCTAAACCCAAAAGTCTAAAGCCTTATGCCGGAAAACCGGCTGGTGGCTTCAAACCCTCCTTCGTCTAGGAGCCGGAACAATTACCAGCATCGTTCCTTAGGGTTTCACGGTTTGTTGTACCACACTAGCTTTTTCAGTGTTCCTTATTATCGTTGAAATATGGACTTAGTGAGTTTTGTGGTCCGCAGGTAGAGTTACTAGGATCACCCCCGGAGCATCTTCGTAGTATTGAGGCCCATACATTGAGCCCTGAACCCTACACCCTAGTCCTGGCCGCGGGACCCGGTAGCCCCGTAAACCTAAATAATCCACTGCCACTCTTGCGGTAGGATTTCGGTAGGGTTTTGGGGTTTAGGAAAGGAAATGCGATCAAGGAATGCTAAACAGAGAGTTTGTTGTTGGCTTGAGGTAAGCCTTAAAACCGAACCCAACACCTGCGCAGTGTGTCGTTCAGATTCCCCATTGAACTCAGCACCCTAAACCCCTAAAGCCTAAACCCCAAAACCCTAAACCCCAAAGCCCCAAAGCCCTAAACCCCAAAACCCCTAAACCCAAAACCCCTAAACCCTAAACCCCTAAACCCCTAAAGCCCTAAAACCCTAAACCCTAAGCCTCCAAACGGGGGGGCGGACCACATTCAAGAAGCCAGCTCTACACCCCAGAGCCCAAGGAAGATAAACCAACTAGGTTCCTGAGTAGTGCACTTTTGCCCTTTTTAGTTTAGGGTCCCCTTATTAAAACCGAATAGTAGGAAAAAGGGTAGCCTTATTAAATCTTATTATAAAGGGGTTACTCAGAAACCTAACCAAAAAACACCCTAAAGCCTTGAACCCGAAAGCCATGAAGTGCGAAGCCCCCAACGCCCTACACATAACACCACCATCATCATCTAGGATGCCCAGTAGTACCCCTTATTCCCTTTTTGTAGTCCTAGGTTCCTTATAAAGTTACCCAATACCAAAAAGAGAGGCCTTTTTATTCTTAGGTTACTGGGTATCCTAGTCATCATCGTCATCATCATCATTGTCATCATCGTCATCATCACCACTGTCACCACCGTCACCGTCACCACTAGCTCCTGCATCCATGAGCAGCCAGAAGGCATTCCAACCGTTGGCTCAAATTGCCAGTCGGTGGCAATGGCCTTCGAAAGGGCGAGCACTAAAAGCTTGGGATCACTGGCCGTCGTGCGACCTCGCCGTGCGCAGTTTGGAGTTATTGTTGTCTGCACGATTGAATGGAAAAGGCAGGTGGTGCCGGAGCTGTACGTGGAATTAGGTGGGCCCCCCGGGAGGATCCAAAAAGTAGATCACTTAAAGCGGGTTCCTATAAGTACCCTCTTATAGGGCCTTAGGGCCCCAAATTAGGGGATCTACTTTTTTCTAGATCCTCTCGGGGGGGTCTGAGAACTCGTAAACCCTAGACACCCCAAGACCCAAACCCGAAAACCGATCCTGTGAACGCCGAGGATCCATCTGCTTGCGGCCTCAGCATCCTGGCACAGAGTACCTGCAGTTAGTGGGTTCTTTTCGGGGGTTTAGGGTTCAGGGATTTGGAGTTGAGGGTTAACGATCTGGGATGTATTGTTCTGTCATACGTAGATTTCCTTTTCAGGGTTACTTTGACTTGATCTGTAAGAGTTCTACAACTGGTTAGGGTCTTTATGGGGTTAGAGGTTTTTGTGTGTCACGGTTTCGGGGTCAGGGGGTCCTGGGAAGTTCATGCAGTTTTCAGGGCTTCAGGATTTTATATGTTGAACCTTGGGAATTTAGAGCTGCACGGATTCAGGCATCAGGGCTTTAGGTTAGGTTTAGGGACGTGATGGAAGGGGCAAGAAGCACCCGGTTTAGTGCGCATCGGGTGTCGCATCTGTGCACGAAAATTTTGTAAGATTTTCCGTGTACATACTTACGTGTGCGTAATGTAGGTCGGACGTTTATATGTGTGTGTGTGTTTATACACACAGAGTTTGTCGGTTTGTAAATGTTTGGTTTTATAGTTGGTACAATAATCAGCTAATGACTTAGTTCTGTTAAACGCAACAGGTAGTACTTCCTGTAAAAACACCTACCCGCAAGAACCAACAAGAACCCCCGCGACACTCATTCATGACGACCATTGCTGTCGCCCGCCTTCAGGTCAGAAATGCCTCACATCCCCAATTCCTATACTAGGTATCTATCGATTGGGTGATCTTTTGTTGTTTCCAAAGTTGCGTAATGTAATGCCTAAATTATAAACAGTCTTGGGGACCGTTGAAGTCGACACCCAGTATATAAGCCCTATCGTAAACCCTAAACCCCTAAACCCCTAAGCCTTATACCCTAAACCCTAAGCCGTTCTACAAGCGGATCAGAACGAGTTTGAGTTCAGATTAGGGACCCAAAAAGCACATAAGCATAAGCATTTTGTGGGGATATCCCTACCTTATTGGGCCCCATTATAAGGGGGTTTATATGGGATATCCCTAGCCTTATTTTTGCTTATGTGCTTTTTTGGGTCCCTATCAGAGGGGAAGTGCGAGGCTTCGGAGCACTTTTCCGGGCAAGGCTTTCGTGAGGGTTACCTGGACCCTGCAGAACCTCCCAGACCCTCGGGAGGATCCAAAAAGAAGATCCTTTAAAGGGGGTTCCTATAAAGTACCCTTAGTAGTATAGGGCCCCAAATTAGGGGATCTGCTTTCTAGATCCTCTCGGGGGTCTGGGCTACTAAAGGTGCCTTAACAATTACATATACTATTTTCGGGTTCCTGTTTTATAGCTATTATAGTGTCATGGGCCCCAATACCCTATTCTCAGTCTTAAGGCCCCTGCATTACCTCTTTAAGGCCTCGTATAAGGAATTCATAGGGTTTTGGTGCAAAGACTGGTTGCCTTCCAATATTCTTGTTCTCGAGGAAAAGAGGTTTTTTCATCAGGAGCTTACGTTGACGTCGCTCAGGGTTTTGGTTTAGGGCATGCAAGTTTTATGACTTTCAGGGTATGGAGCCCCTGCGAGTACGCTGGCGTCCCCTAAACTCTGAAGTGAAACCGGCTTTGCCGAGTTCTTTAAGGAGGTGCCCAACATAGACTAGGTCGATAGAGTCCGTGGAGTACCTCCTTTACGGGTATCTAGTAAAGAGCTAGGGTAGAGGACCATATCTATTTTCTTCAACAAGACAATCTTGCACTCAACCCGTATGTCCAAAGGCCAAGCCCTTCCGCTGAACGGATATTAGGGAATCTAGCACGAAACTCTTATAACAACCTGTAAAATCTCATACAACCCTTAAAACTTTAAAAAGGGTCTCTAATAAGAACCCTGTAAAATATCAATCAGTTTTACAAAGCCCAACGCGAGCAAACCTAGAGGTGCTGCACCTCCTGGGCGCCCAGAACCACAGCGTAGCCGAGTTTGCCACCGCCGGTGGGGTCCCAGGCACCGTGAGATTTGAAGTTCATCTGAAGAAGGGTGCGGCGGGCGTGGGTTTGAACCCTATGCGCTACTGTGGGCAGACTAGTAGTAGAAATCTTACTGCGCATGTTTCAACGAAGGATTCGAGGTTTCGTTGTAAGGGTTCGTTATAACAACTATGTAGGTCTCCCAGCAGGCGCGTTGCTCCAAGTTCCTCCGTCCTCTGTGTCCAGTGCTTCCTTCGTGACATTTCGTCGCCATGGGTGCCGGTGCTGGAGCCATGATGGACAATCTAACGAAGCCTGAGGCGGTCGACAAGATGAAGGAGGTTCCGGACGCACACATCCAGAACCTTCAAGACAAAATGAGCCCTTAAAGGGTTTCAGGTTCATATACCGTATAGGGATTCATAGTATCAGGGTATACGGCCCCTACGTTTAAGGGACCTAGAGACTCCAATACCCTTTGATTAAGGAGTATTCCTGAAATCAGATTGGGGATCCTACTATGATTTAAGGTATATTCCACAGTTAATTAAGGGATGTTGGAGTCTCTGGGGACATCTTATCCTTCGGTTGATGACATAAATCCTGCATTACCCATAATAAGGAATATACCATAATTCCCATCGTCTAGGGTCCTTGAGGTAATGCAGGGCTTATATCATCACCCCAAACCCTAGACTATAGATCCCTTAAAGAAGCCCCTTAAAGGTACCTTTATAGATCCCTTTAAAGGAAGCCCTAGGATACATATCATCAACCGTTAAGGAAGGCGGCCGAGACGCTCCCCGTAGAGGCGATAGACATCTTCAAGAGGATCGTGGAGGCGGCAGAGGCCGCCAAGCCAAAACTCAAAAAACGCGACCCTGTGACTGGGCTTTGGATGTACCATACTTTAAAATATTTTTGGTGGACCTGTTAATCGTTTCCCCCTAATATTATTAAACGCCCCCCCCCCCCCCCCCCCCCTCCCTAATATAGAATTTGATTTCCGGGGTTCTAATTTAATATTAGGGGGTTTTGGGGCATCCACGTATGAGTCGGATTGAGAGTACTAATGAGCCAGACACAAAGACCGCCCATCATGCAGCCGCTCCGGCTGTAGAGCAGACAGTCCCGCCCTAAACCCTACAGCCCTAACCCTAAAGCCCCAAAGCCCTAAAGCTCTAAGCTCTAAAGCCCTGAGCCCTTAACCCTTAAACCCTAAAGCTCTGGTCTCTTCGGTCTGATTAGTACTGCTGCAGTCGTTGTCTCGTGTAAAACTCATGCAATCCTAGCCCCCCTAATGCTTTCAATTAACTTTCAACTGTGGGCCCGAAATCGTGAAATCCCGGCGGCGAGTTGATTTTACATTCAGGGTGGGTTAATCTTTGGGGGAAGCGATTACTTAAAGGGCGCCATTATGAAGTAAAGTCTACTGTATACTTTTGTTTCTCCCTGGTTAGTTCATATCCCAGGTGAAGAAGCTCGGCAACAGCGACAAGGTGGACAACATGGACATGTGCCTCTGCTTCTGGGACGAAGCGAAGGCCAAGGGCTTGGTTCAGAAAGAAGTGGACGAAGGCCGCCTCTCCGGCGTACCTTAGGGGTACTTTGAAAGAGTTTTACATATTTGGCTCCTATAATCCCTAAGATCCCTAAGAAACGGCGTACCTTAGGGGTACTTAGAAATAGTTTTAAACATTTGGGAGTTTCCGAAAAATTAGGGGCACCTCATTTTGGGGTCCTTGTAAAGGATCCTACTACTTAGGGTACTGTATGAGGGCCTCCTAGTTTTGGGGACTCCCATTTGGCTCCTACAATCCCTAAGAGCCCTAACCCTTGGCATCTAAGGACTCATATATTGAGGCTTTTGCGCCCAAAGACCATACTATATAAGGCTTTTGGGCTATTTTGCCCAGGGTAAGAAACAGCCAAAATTATGATGTCTGCCGGGGGTCTAAGTTCAGCATAGGTGCCAGATGAGCTGAACGGGGCGATTATGGCGGTGTCGGACGTGGCATGGAAGACTCCCGAGGATGCCAAGAAATGGAACTTCAACTATCGGAAGCTAGGTTGGATTTTGTGATATTTTGTATTTTCTTTATTTGGGTTTATAAGGGGCCCTATATATAAATACTTTTCAGGGTGTTTAAAGGCCAACCCAGGAAGGATATCTCCTGGAGCTTTTTCCAGGACATGGCGAAAGCAAAGGTTGTTTTTGATCCTACCGCCGGAGAGGATCTCAAGGACGAGGAGAAGCAGAAACTCTTGGAGCATTGTGTCTACTTGTGGGATACTTAGATAGCCAATGGAAGAGCTTCAAACTTTTTTGCTATATATATATATATATGTATCTGAGAAAGTTTCAACTTTTTTTTGGCCGGTTGTTGAAGAAGAGAGAGAACAGGAACCCAACCGACTAAACCTAAACCCTTCAAGCCTAATCCTCAAATCTGTCGGTTTGGGGCTCCTAAAGCCTAAACCTTAAACCCTAAACCGTCGTTAGGATAAGAAGACAACGGACACTTGGATGGCGAGCCATAAGATGAAACCAGCGGGAATCACGGGAATGACGCTCTGCAATCCGAAGGAAGAGAAACTGGGCTTTGGAGTACCGTACTTTAATACTTTTTTCTTAAAGGGAACCATTATGAAACAAAAGTTTATACTTTAAGACTTTTTTCTTAAACGGAGCCATTATGAAGTAAACGTTTATACTTTTTTCTCCCTGGTTACTTAAAAGCCCAGGAAAGGGTCGATGACTGTGGAGGACGAGCCCAAGGCTTTCCTCAAGCTCGCCGAAGAGAGTGTGAAGTTCCAGCAGGCCTTAGTGGCTCACGTGAACTGTTAAGTCCTAAACCGTCTAATAATCACATACTTTTCAAAAATAGTTACTTACGTAACTACTATCCCAAAACCGAGTGCCGAATTCTTGGGTCCTTTGGACCCCTAGGGCCAAGCCCGAAACTGATCTCGGAGGGACAGGCAGGTTTCATGATTTCATGATTCTGTGAGCTCTGCCCGTAGGCATCTAAGGACTCATATATTAAGGCTTATGGGCCCAAAGACCATACTGTACAGTATAAGGCTTTTGGGGTATTTTGATGCCCAGGGTGCGGAGCTCGCCTCCTTCCGGGAGCTCAGTTTTCACCCCTTGCTGTGCCAGGGTTGCTTTTCTGCCATTTTCTGCCCTAGCAGGGCCAGTACTTGCACCATGAGGAGTGAAAAGACCTGTTTTGTGGTGTTAGGCTCCTGATAGCACTACCCTTTACGGAGCCCTCTTATTCCTATGGTAGACGCCCCAACGTTGGAAACCCAACAGTCTCCATCCTTAAGAGTAATAGTATCCCAGCACTATTTGTCCTTAATTAATCCGGTTTCCAACGTTTGGGGGTTTACTGTGAATCATAAACCCTAAACCCCTAAACCCTAAGCCCGGAACTCCAAACCCAATGCACCTGTTGATTTGGGGTTACTGGGGAACCCTATGTATCATACTGGCATCTTGAAAAAGGGCTTAATTTAAGTTACCATAGTAAGGAAACCACGTTATTAACTACAGGTTCCCATTAGGGTCACTTAAATTAATCCCCTAGGACCTAGAGTATGTAGGCCCCTATTCCCTTCTTTTAGGGTTCAGGTTCCCTTATAAGCCCCTTTAAGCCAAAAATGTAGCCTTTTGATTCCTAGGTTCCTCTTCCTCCAAACCCTCATAGAGCCCTTTAAAGGAACCCTTTAAAGGAACCCTTACTCTTGGATCTATTGTAGTATCCTTAAGGGAGGGGGGTCCAAGGGGGGTATATAGCCTAGTGATCCCTAATTCTCCCTAGTACTCCCTAAGGTTCCCTTACAGTCCCCTAAGGATTCCTTATACCCTCCCCCCTTGAACCACCCTCCCTTAAGGATCCTATAATAATCTAGCCCCTTAAACAAGAATCCTCAACCCTGAACCGCCAAACTAGAGAGGCTCGTTGGGACCCAGGACTGGAGCCGGGAATAACGGGGGAGAAGGGTTACAGTAGAAGCCAGAAAGTTGGAACATCATTATCCTCATGCCCTGAAGGTAAAGTATAAGGGATCCTAGCGCAAATCCTCCCAAATCCATGTTCCAACTTTCTGGCTTCTACTATAGGGTTTAGGGTTTTAGGGTTTAGGGGTTGGGGGTTTAGGGGTTTAGGGTTTTAGGGTTTAGAGGTTGGGGGTTTAGGGGTTTAGGGTTTAGGGGTTTAAGGTTTAGTGCTTTAAGGGACACCCTTCCTTATCAAGGGATGCCGGGTATCAGAGGTTTATGATAACCCAGCTAAAGTTTAGCATCGTGGTGGTTTCAAAATGCACAGCAAACACGATGTCCAAGGGGCCTCAAGAACAGCTTTAAGCCCTAACTCTATATACGAAAGTTTAAATCCTAAGTCCCAAAACCCAAAACCCTCAACCCAAAACTCTAGACTCTAAACCATAGGCCATGAACCCGGAGTATCCCTGAACCGTACACCCATAATCACCCAACCTTTCACAACCCCTACACCCAGAAACCCTAAATTCAACCATCAAGACCGAACCCCCTCAACCCAAACCCCGTCACCTACCCGTAACCCCCCTAAACCCGAACCCCTCATCTCTTAAACCCCTAATCCCATGAACAGGACTCTGCCAACTCATGGAGTACTTTCTCTCCTCAAGGAGCTTCTTGTGCAATGGGCTTTCGAGTTCGCAAAGGCTGCAGGTGTTCGTTATGGTGTACACCCGCGGAGATGTTAAGCATGCCGGTTGTGATTGGGTTTTTAAGGGGCTGATAGTGCCGTAACAGGCACTTGAATGGAGCCCTCATGGTCTTCAGGAGTGGGATGGAGTGGGTATTTTCGATGTCCTAGAACATGGTGGGGGGTGGGGGGCCTCAACTTAGATTCAGCTTTAGAGGAAAAGATTGGTTTTCGACGGATTCTTAATATAGCAGACTACACTCAGAAGGTACATTTTCCATTACACATCCCCTATGTATAACCACCAAAGAACCCACAGAGACCCCTAGTATGAGCCAACCAAATGTCCCCTAAAAGTAGGGGCCCTATGCCCTGATACTATGAAGCGCTATATGGTATATGAACCAAAAACCCTTGCAGGGCTCATGTCGTCTTTAAGGACAGCGTCTGCTGGCGTCGCAAAACGCCAACGATATGCGCAGCACCCTCGAATTATTGTTGCTTCATTGAAGCTCGGTTCACGAAACAAGGAATCCTGGCAGCTCTTCGGGACCCTGATGCCCGCTCGACGCAGATGAACATTTGGTCCGACCCCTCCTCCGAGTTCGTGGGCAGTGCATGCGGGGCGCACCACGAATATCAGCCAGCAGTGGTGGCTTACAACCGTCCCGGCGCCAGTGGCGCAGTGGGCCAATTCACGGGCGAGCGCCGCAGTAAAGCGTGGGATCATTACAAGTACAGAATTCCTGGCGGCAGCTCATAAGTCTTGGCCGCCGGCAGACTTCGAGCCATGGTCGTGTAAAGTGTGTCCGGGTCCGGGCGCTTCATGGCCCGTGCCTGTTGCAAGGTCTCGGATCAGGCATCGCTTTGCGTCCCCATGGCTGAGCAAATCCATGATGCTTGCTAAACATGTTCGCTAATTCAGGGGCATCTTGTCAAACATGATTATTCCCCAAACCCCAAACCCCAAGCCCTAAAAGCCAAACTCCTAAGCCCCCAAACCCCTAAACCCTTGGACCCCTCAATGCCTAAATTGCCAATCTTATTGACTAAAGGGCACCTTTGGGTGCCTTCTGCCCGGATCCCATTTCAGCGTCGGTTTAGGGTACAGGTTGGGTGCTGCCCTCACTCTGCAACAGTTGGAGAAGTCTATAATCTAGTTGTAGATAGCCCTTAATATGACCTTTAGTGTAAACTGTGACAGGGTGCGTACAGCACCCAGGGTCAGGATTGTTGTTTTTCGGGACTCAAAAACGCACACGAACATAAGCACTTTACAGGGATATCCCCACCTTATTGGGCTTCATTATAAGGGGGGTTATGTGGGATACCCATATGGGTGGTTGTCAAAGTTATGGTCATTTTGGGGGTCCCTATTCAAATACGGCACCTAATACTTTGGGTTCCAAAAAAGGGACCCTAATTTTGACAACTACCCATATAAGGAACCCAAATCAAGGCCCAAGGTTTCTTAACCTCAAAATATGAGTCCTTGGATGCCTAGGGTAAGGGGGGTTATGTGGGCTAACCACCCTAAACCCTAAACCCTAAGAGGCGAGATCAATCAATCCCTATATGGGTGTTATAATACGGCACCTCATACCTAAGGTACCCAAAAAGAGACCCCAATTTAGACAACCGCCCATATAAGGAACCCAAATCAAGGCCCAAGGTTTCTTAACCTCAAACTATGAGTCCTTAGATGCCTAGGGTAAGGGGGGTTATGTGCGCTACCCACCCTAAACCCTAAACCCTAAACCCGAAACCCTAAACTTTAAACCCTAAGAGGCGAGATCAATCAATCCGACTTGCAAACGAGGGTTCCTTATATGGGTGTTATAATACGGCACCTAGTACTTAAGGTACCCAAAAAGAGACCCCAATTTAGACAACTACCCATATAAGGAACTCAAATCAAGGCCCAAGGTTTCTTAACCTCAAAATATGAGTCCTTAGATGCCTAGGGTAAGGGGGGTTATGTGGGCTACCCACCCTGAACCCTAAACCCTAAAGCCCTAAACCCTGAACCCCAAACCCGAAACTTTAAACCCTAAGAGACGAGATCAATCAATCCGACTTGCAAACGAGGGTTCCTTATATGGGTGTTATCATACAGCACCTAACACTTAAGGTACCCAAAAAGAGACCCCAATTTAGACAACCACCCATATAAGGAACCCAAATCAAGGCCCAAGGTTTCTTAACCTCAAAATATGAGTCCTTAGATGCCTAGGGGAAAGGGGGCTTATGTGGGATACCCATATGGGTGGTTGTGAAAGTTATGGTCATATTACAATACGGCGCCTAATTGATATTTAAGGTTCACAAAAAAGGCCTAATACTCAAGGTACCCAAAAAGGGACCCTACTTTAGACAACCACCCGTATAAGGAACCCAAATCAAGGCTCAAGGTTTCTTAACCTCAAAATATGAGTCCTTAGATGCCTAGGGTAAGGGGGGTTACGTGAGATACCCATATGGGTGGTTGTCAAAGTTATGGTCATATTATAATACGGCGTCTAATTGATATTTAAGGTTCCCAAAAAGGCCTAATACTTAAGGTACCCAAAAAGAGACCCTAATTTTGACAACGACCCATATAAGGAACCCAAATTTCTTAACCTCAAAATGTGAGTCCTTAGAACCCTGAACCCTAAACCCTAAACCCTTCTTTAGACAACCACCCACATCCGACTTGCAAACGCGGGTTCCACAACCACACGTCGGAGGAAGGTGCAGGAGCAGTGCGCGGTTTTCTTGCAGAGTGCAGCCCTCAGAAGATTTTGTCTTAGATCCCCAATACCTAACCTCTAAACTTTTTGGGTTCTCATACAGTAGAAGACAGAAAGTTGGAATATCATTATCGCAACCCCTTTAAGGTAAATTATAGGGGATCCTACCATTAATCCATATTCCAACTTTCTGGAGTTCCCTATAATTTAGTAGGAATCGGAAAAGTTAAGCTTTTATTTCTGTGGCTTATTGGGGTAGTAAGTTGTTGTTTACCCGATTTGTTCTGCTGGACCCTTTTACTTGGAGGGTCGGGGGACTTAGCAACTGGTTATTTTAGAGACTTATGAGTACCATAACCCCAATTAGGGTCCCTGTTAGGGTAACTTATTATCTACATACTAAGTCCCCCGACCCTCCA